TCAGCCCGTAAATAATTAAGTTATTTATGTATTACTCTTACTATTGTAGGGTACTTACGGACCATACGCTTACTAGTGAGCGTGACGATGACAATTTGTTTTGCTCTGAGACGTCAAAATTTGATACCTTTATTCTCACATTTTATTCCTCACCCGATGACTTTGAGATTGAAATGATTCATTTTGTCTATATTTTTAGCCTTTCAATGTCGTTCGGCACTTCTAAAGCGTCTACACATCAGTTGCCTTTGACATTTCTTATTTCTAGTGGCTGCTATTTTAAGTTAGTGAATATTAGTTGATTCTGTTTTCTTTTACTGCCTTAACCTAGCCTTTAAAAATAAAACTACGGGTCCTATTATTTTGGGAAATTTATTGCTTCTGGCACTAGGGGTTAGATATTTTCGTATTTCTTACATGAACACTATCTTACAGCTAACTAACCACTTTTATTATTTTCTTATCGTTTTGGAACAAAACGTTGTTTTTGGGTTGCTAGAATTACTTCTCCTTTGATGGGTCATCGATTCACATTATTGAGGTTTCAAACACCTAAGGTTTTGTAGTTCATCACTCAAGTACTGTTGAAATAAGTGGCTGTAGCTGAAGAAAGTATTGCTTATGTCTATTCTATATATTTTTGCCCACATAATGATATATTGGTAGCAAATCTACTCTAATTATGTATGCTTGTTCATATAAATAATGACATTTTTTCAAATAATAATCTGTTACATGAAGCATCCCGTTTTACGGGCAAAATCAAATAGTTATAGGTGGGCTGCTATTAAACGCAACTCGATCTTGTAAATGTGGCCTTCAGCTTAGCAACCAATCACAATGAGTCTGGAATTATCATATCCGACATCTTTGGTGGTCGGTTTTCTTCGTTCTGTGCTTTTTTCAGCTATTTCTTTTGTGTAGGTATGTAATTTAATGTTTCAGTGTGCTAAAATGCCGCAGTCAGTGCAATGTTCTGTATGTTGGTGTGAAACTTATTTTGAATCAGCATTGTTTTTTGCTGCTTCTACTCAAGTCAATGTATTTCTTCAGGCAGTCTGGCTAGTCTTATTTTTTAAAATGGTAATCGGTTTTGTTTTGACTCGTTTTCTAGATATCCAAAGCAGAACGTTTTTTTAGCTGCCTGTGACTAACTATCCGCATGTTCGTTCCTAACTGTCCTTTATTATGTTATCGGCACAATAAAAGGAAACAATCTCTGGTTTTTAATTTTCTTCAGTATTAAGGACAACACTATCTCACCAACGAGTCAAAGTAATACTTAGTGCCCAGCAGTAGGGGATATTAGTATTGTTTTCGAAAGGACCCAGACTTCCGACAACTATAGATGAAGTCACAGATGCTACCAATCTATTGCAGAGAGTTTGTTATGAGAAATATGCCATATAACAGTAATAGAGGGGTTGTACTCATTACTCAGCGCGTTAAAGCAAGCTTAACATTGAAAAGCCGGAAATCTGCTACCAGTGTCTAGTGTATGTTTGCTGTTTTGGTCATAAAAGGAAGCCGAAGGGTCATGATCAGGGAGTAAAAAGGTAATTAACTGTTATTAAGATCACTTTTTTATAGATCATATTTCACCACTCGCAAATTTGTGTTTTCTCACGGTATGATGTCATCCGGTACCTAATATGTTCACCCTTACGATGAAAAGCACCTGCAAATTGGACAGCTGTCTTCCAGTTTGAGTGCTTCCTACGCCCTGTGAGACTGGATTCCTACATTATTCGTAGTTCCAGTATAACTTTCTCAAGCAGTAAGTTCAAAGTAGACAATAGTCTTTCTAAATAAGCCTGTTAAGCTAATATCCGTATTCTCTTTTTCAGTTAATCGATGAAGACATTCACCAAGTTCATCTGCCGTATACTGCCATTTTACTCTAATTCTAACTGTTATATCATACTTCAGAAAAATAAAATTGCCATATGCAGCAAATACATACCTTTTTGATGAAGATAGGGGAGTTCATGGTCTTTTTAGCAGGACTGTAGTAATATTCTCACTAAAGAGCTAAGCGAGTGCGTAGACCAATCTTAGGCAACATACAGGGTGCCTTTGAGTTACTAGTGTTCCATTAGTGCGGGTAGGGGCATCGCTTGCCTGTCATATGGCATTCGAATAAGAAGCTGTGAGATTAGACGCAGGTACGGTTAGGATGTATAACGTGTGTCCATCAGCTGCCGTGGTTAGAATAAGTTATGAGGGGACCCAAGTCTGTAGGTTTCCCAAGAAAATGACGAAGATATGTACCAAATCACTTAAATTTATTACATATGAAATAGGTGCTGCGAGGCTCGTGTATCGCAAGTTTCTTGCAACGATTAGGTAGGTAAAACAAAGCATTAGATTTAAAAATTTATTCAGGAGCTTCCGTTAGTAATCGAATTTCAAACAAAGGTTTAAACGAAGTTGCATTGGTAATGTTAAGCTGCAGTCTCCGTTGTTTTTTTCCAAACGAAAGGGTAAAAGAAATAACTCAAAAAGTACTGGAAGTGGTTGTGAGACTAAAATGGACATCCAGCATCCTTTACATAATCTGCTGTTAGTTGGGTCTCCCGTGAACAGTTCCATTGGGCCATAGTTCTAAGAGCGAAACAGTTCGTAGGATCTGTGGAGACTCACTGCTGTTGCATTCTAAATAAGAAAATAGTAATGAATTTAGTCAGAAATGTGTAATAGATAAATAACCAAATTACATGATTTTTGCAAAGAATTTGTGCAGTTGTGATTTACTTTGAGTTCATGAATATCAGATCAAGACAGCTACTATTACTTGTGCAAAGCATCATATGGGCTTAATGCCGTACGGCAATGCCATTATTATTTCGCTCCCATGTAAGTATTCCCATGCATCTGTAGTGACTCACTTTTATCACGAGAACACGATTGGTTTATTGAAAACGACTATTATTATAACCAATTGTACCAGTGACTCTTTAATGTGCTCTTTGTTTAACTGTGTTAAAAACATCCATTATACTTACTTTGATTGTGACCTCGTGGGAATTCGGTTACGTTCTGTAACCAAGCTTGTATCCTGGCACGATCTCGGTATCCTTTCGATATCACGAGATCGCCAGCAAGCATATCTCGATTTGGCCCATTAGTTGCCTTCTGATATTTGGCTTCCCGGGGATTTTATGGATACCCTGGCACGCGTTCCTTCGTAGTGGTGTTTATAGTCAACTGTGACTCGACACCAGTCTACACATCTGCGTCTTGTTTAACAGGAAGACACACAATCAGAATCAGTGTCTGATAAACTAAAAGTCCTAGTTGTCAAAAAGATTCTGAACATTTATCCACAGCCAGCAACATTCAATTGAGACACCGAAAACTCATCTTGTAAGACTGTGTACTGCTGTTTTGCGGGCAACTACGATCTCAGACACTTAGCTAACCTGCTACCGATGTTATTGCTGTTGAAATTGCTTGTTGGTAGTGATCTTGAAATATGGTCAGTGATAGATGTACAGTCTAAAAATACACATCAAATATACTTAAAGCTATATTATGATGTGTGACAGCAACAGTACCAAAGGCATTTTTCCCTATTTTTAGTTAAACTCATTTCAGTCAGTATACTCATTAGAAACAGGCAGCTCTACTTACTAAACTGATCTGTTTCGTTACAGGCTTCAAGCACTATACTTAACTATACCATAATTCTTCGGACTAAACTGAACTAAACGACAACCAAGAATACTAAACTAAGCAAGTGTCATAATTATTGTTTCATTTGCACAGACATGTTGCTCAAAGTAGTTAAATGGATATAATTAAGCCGATAAAACCAAAACACGAAATATGGGCTAGTCGAGCTAAACCTAACAGAAGATAAATGATATATATATATATATATATATTGCTTTCAGGTTGAAGGCATCAGTCAGTTGTTCATAAAAAACATAGTTTACAGTAGAACAAACCTTTCTTCAGTATCATTATGCACTCATGGTCTATCTGGAAACAATCACCTATGTGATCAAACTCACGATGACCTGGGATATCATCCCAGCGTGCAATGAACGTACAGTGTAATACAGTCAGACGTGGCGAATAAAAATTAAAAACAGAGCAAAATTAACAACATAATCCAGTTATTTAATTAAAAATACATTGTGAAATGACAAAATCTGTGGTTACTTGAACGCACAGATGACCGTTATTACACTTGGCCATACATTAAGTTTACATGTTTGCGTTGCGGACAAATTCACCCTTACAGGTGCTATAGGCTTGACTATATAAGGTCACTCATTCAGTATGATACGTTATACGGTATATTACTCATAGAAATAGGAGACTTATTTCAACAGGTTGGAGAAAACAGGCCAAAGTATGGAGTTGAACGGACCAAGGATTGTATAAACAAAGGTGATTCGAAAGAGCTGAAAGTGTAGGGTCATTTGTATTTGTTTTTGATGACAACTGGCTTATTTTAATCAAAATTAGTGTGGCTCGTTTTCATATTCTAGACAGTCAACAAATTATTCAAAACTTTTTGGCGCCTTGACTGGAAACCAAGAGAATTCAGGCATTCGGAAGTCCCTACAATTAGGCTCGCTTGTGAATGGTAGGAGTGAGGCTGCTGTGAATACCTCTGAAATTATTGCTTTTTCACTTTTTGATCCGTTATGTTGATGGCAAACAGATATGAAACTGAAGTTGAGGACTTCAGAACAATCCACACTGAACCCTGCAGTTTGTTTAGTTCTTGCATATCACGAAAAAGTGAAATTAGACTGGAGTGAGCATATGTGAGTTGATATCTGCCACATCCCTTTGACTTATCAATTCGTTGAAGGAAACAATTGTCATGAAGTATATAGAGATCCGAAATCTTTCCGGTAGTTCATGCTTCGGATATAATTATAAGTGACATTTCATAAAGGGATGCAAACAGGAATATATCTGTCTTTTTTATTACAGATCTACTCAGCGTTGATATAACATGTATTAAACAAACGGCTTACTATGTTCAAGAGGGTGAGTGTATGTTGATATATTGTGCAACTCTAATTTATGCTATTTTATAAACTGTCAGACAATCGCTTTATTTCTGCTTCAGTATTTCAGCGGAAAATCTTTAGACTTAGGAGAGGTAAGATATTTAGTATACTGTTCACTGTTTGTGCTCAACAAATACTTTAAACACCGCGATTTCAAGGTAAGACGTTCTTGGCCTCGATAAGCGAATTAGCGCCATGGACGGTGTAATTGCAGAATGGGAGAAGTTTGAAAATTCTAAGAAATATGAAGAAGCATACTCTGTAGTATCCAATGCAATAATTGATAACAAGGATCCCGAACTGTACTGGAGGAAGGCTCGTAGCTGCAGAAATTTAGGTAATCTTTCCAAGTCTTTTAAGCCAATATCAGCTAACTCACTGGGTAAAAACGATAAACAAGTGTATAAAAAGTACATCGAAGAAGGTCTTTCAGCTTGTGACGAAGGGCTCCGAATAGATTCAGAAAATTCTAAGTGCAACTCCGTACGTTTCATATCCGATTAACTTAATAAAAATATATATTGGAACCACTACAGTGGTACGCAATATTTCTAAACTTATCATCAGAAATTGAGGGAATAAATAAGCGGATAGAAAATTCTTTTAAGATGAAGGACCATTGGATGGTAATTCTGTCTTACGAAGTTTATCTTTCAGAAAGCCATAAAAGCAAATCCTGACGACGTTGTTACATTGCACGCTCTTGGGAGATGGTTAGTAATACATCATATTTCATAACACTTTCATAGGTGTTTCGAGGTTACAGATCTCCCATGGATAAAGCGAAAGCTTGCAGCTACCTTTTTCGGTGAACCACCTACGTCTACCTACGAAGAAGTAAGTTTAGTGGCTAATGTGAACAACACTATAGGCTCTTAACTATCTCCTTGACTCAGAAAAAAGTAATTTGTGTTCTTTATATGCAATAAGTTTTTTATAGAGTCTCCTGGAACTATCGTAAAAAATTCTCTTTATATAGCAAAGACGTACCACAGGTTAAAGAATTATGATCTGGCTAAGCATTATTGTCATAAAGTGTTAGAATTTACGGAAGATGACTTGGATACTGAAGAGGTAATCAGATGCTTTTTGTTACCTAACTGAGAAACTTAGGCAAAGAGGGAGGCGTCTGAGCTGTTGAAGAAACTGTAAAGTGTTTTCTTATCCCTTCAATTAATTGACAAGATATCGTAATAGCTTATATTTTTCTTGACATCGAGTTTTTAAATCAATTTTTAGTATCATCTGTAATGTATGTTGGTGTTTTTGGCAATATTATGGTAACACTTTCATTCATCCTTTCTGAAATTTGTTAGCTGTTTTGTTGGTTGAATTGATTTGTATTGTTGGTTTAAATCTTCCCAATGATGTTTAAGGCTTAAACTAATGTAGGTAACTCCAACTGATGAGTCCCGAATAGAATGAAGCGCGCTCCCTGAATCCCAATGATGGCCACCATCTATTCCAGCTTGTAATGTCTTAATGAAGGTTTTGCTTGATATCCTGATGCAAATCAGTCTTGTGTAATGTTAAAAAATTACTTGGTCTGTTTATCCTATATAATTACTGCTAATTATTCTTGTTAGTACTCAATTCCATAAGATAACGATACAGTCGTCTAAACCGATGTGAATTTTTGGCTTGAACATATCCTACAATCTGTAGGACGTTTGATTTCTTCACTAAACCGTATGTGGACGCCAGTATATGAAATGAAAATGCACAAAATTCTTTACATTCACCTATGTGTTTCGATTAAAGAGTTCACCAGCTTGCAAAAGCATATGTGTCTCACTCACTGTCTTTTATATTAACTCATTTTGTGATCTGTACTTATTCAGTTTTCATTCTAACCAATTCCAATTCATCTACTTCAGATTTGACAACTGGCTAGTATCAATACTTTTCAGAAGATAAGACTTGTGACCCGAACTTGAGTAAATCCACTATGCTGAACGGGTTACGTAATGGCATTCATACGTACATAATGCAATCAGGATATTCACAGTGTTCAAGAAAGTTTATGCATCACATGCTCTCAGGCACTTTCTATGTTTTAAATTAGGTTTTGGAGTAATAACCAGGCAAAATTCATATAATTATTCATTAATTAAGGTCACTAAACCATGTTTTACGTATCCTATAAAGGTGTACATGTAAAATTAGTTCTACGGGATTTAAAACTAAGTAACGACTCCTCTGGAGTATAACTTGGGTGTTGAACCGACTCGTGTAATAGAAAAGTATTCATTACTTAACAGAAATAACCATTACAAACATATAAAAGTGCCATTGAGTCAATATGAAAGACAAGGCTCCAGGCCTTTTTACCTGTAAATATTACTGTAATAAATACATAATTTCCATGAAACTTTTTCAAAAACTAAATAAATTTTATAAAGTTTTTGCACCGACGTTTTGCCGTTTGAGTTTTAAGACTAGATATTAAGTGATAAGTTTAAGTGAACTGAGAATTAAGTAAACTATCGGTACTTATTGACGTATTTCCATCTTACGTTATTTCATTCTGTTCGATACACACAAATTCTTGTAAGACTAGGCACTAGAGAATAGTATATACCACACAAGATATCCTGTAAAGATATCCTGTTGTTAAAAAGTGAAAGGAAAGGAAGTACAGTCGTTCTAAAAAAACTATCGAGTTCTGTGTTAGACACATTCATAAATTTGACAGTTTAGCAGCTTATTGAGACCGTTTATACAACGGAACTTTGAACCGACACAGACTCATATTAAGAGACAAGTTGATGTGCGAAGTATCTAAGTCTTGTGGAAAATGTTTTGTTTAAAATATACAGCGTCTGACAGCATTTAGTTAACCTGAAAGAAAAGGTTATTATAAAATTAGTAAAGTCTTTCCACTGCGAAAGTGAGTTCACTGCATAGCGATCTTTTATTTTAAAATGGAAGTATGTTTACAAATTAAGTTACACTTATTGCTTTTTATACGGAATTCTTCAATCCTATGTAATTAACATCCCGTTTATTATAGAATGTTAAATCCCTGTGAAAACGTATGGCATGACCTATATACCTAAGGAAGTCGAAAATTCTGCAGTAGGTCACATAAATTATCTTTAGCCCAAGATGTTTAGCATTTGAGAATGCTTCTTTAGCTTTGATAGGACAATTCAGGGAAGTTTCGGTGCTTGTTTTAAGAATAAATGCCCGTTTTCTTAACTCGACTGAAGTGTTCAGTAGTCTCAGTTAGGATGAAATGTGAACTACTGATTAATATTAGAAATCTGATTTTTAGCAAATGACCATCTACTCTCCCTAATTAATCATGTAGTCATCGATAAAAGATGTTTGTTTTCAGTAAACGTATACAATAATGAATATGATTGGAAGTTTGGTACAAGCTGTTTTTTTACATTTGTCATTGTACAAATTTTACATTCTCTTAATGTGGTTTATATGCAACTAGAGAGCATTTAAAGCAAATATTCTAACTTTATTGGCATTTCAAATGTTTCGATTAAATCTAATGTAATATTGATGTAAGTAATTTCGAGAAGCTGAAATAAATATTTTTGCCAATGGATTGTACAGCTCAAGATTAAATTACAATCTAAATTTTATTATACCAGAAAATGTTTTTCCTATGAAGCGTTCAGATATGTTTGTGTATAAATGTGATTGTTTATGAAAGTTCAGAAATGTCGAAGAGTTTGAATGGAATGCCAAATAATAAAAAGAATGTATTTACCATATATTGTATCAGCCTTACTGTATTGTTCGTCCAAGTGATCAACGATGCATGCTAACCAATTCAATAATGTATTTGTAGAAACCAGTTAAACATATTTTTGTTAAGTTAATCGTTACAGTATGTTCTATGTGACTGTAGTTATTAGAGAAGTAATAAATCTCTGTCCTATTGATGCACGAGGATAATGTTTTTTACCTGTTAAACATTTAAATTAGTGAAAAATACGAAGCAGAACTGTTTAACAGAAATAATCTCATCAACTTAGTTATTAACAAGAATTTTAAATATCAGGCGTCATATATAAATCACATTCCTAAAATATTTCCATCGATAAACTCAGCATCTCTGCAGTAATACAATATTGGGATAGTCGTTAGATTAATCGCTGAAGTATTTTTGAGGAAATATCTACAAATTGCTTGGAAGTTCACTTCAGTGTACGAATGCCATTATAAGACAGCAAACCCAATTATTTTTGGTAATGTGTATATCTTGTTGTGCACTACAAAGCAACAGGGTGATTTATTGTAGTGACTCGTTTAAACAAAGCGTAATGGATGAAATATCCTCAAGTGGAAATTTGTAGCTCAGATGGCTGGTTTTGTTCTCTAAGCTAGATCTAGCCTGTGGAAACCTAGTGCTTATCAGCGGGACGTTTGGCAAAGATCCAAGCAACTTTATTCGCCATTCCTTCGGCGTCATGTAATTGCGCCCAATGCTCATCTATACTTTTTGATAGGTCGGTAGCTAGCCTTGAACCTATCCCTGTTCGATATTTATTCTCAATAGAAGCTGCAACCACTTTGCTGATACCATTCCGTTTAGAGCGATAAACTTGTTAGCCACTGAAACGCAAGGTAAGATTAGCACAAACAAGGTCATAGCTAAAGTCTAGATTCGTACTACAAAGGAGTGGCAGTTTTGCAGATAACCATACCAGCGGTAGCTGATAGCTATGTGAACAATCTGAGTTCAGGTTTTAGGTGTAGATGAAGGACGCCAAGTAGCACATCGTCGACTACTGTGTCGACAGTTAGCGCTTGTCAGAAACAGGCTTCAATCTGTGCAAAGTTTCAGTTTCTGTCCTGAAACCAGCAATTCTCCATTGGCCATTCAAACTACTCTTCTCTGTGTCTAGTCACCTGACCTGTACATTCAGGTCTCCTGCTAGTACTAAAATGTCTGTCGAACGCGCTTTCTGTAAAATACTTAACTGATGATTAAACTCATTCTTGATCTCATTCACACTGCAGTTTGTCGAAGCATAGGCAGAGATGACGAAAAGATATCGTTTCTCACACCAATTTGTTCTCACTTTGATGGAACTTCCTAATCTAACAGCACAAAGCCGACTTGATAGGGGTCCAATCGATGAGTTCCACCTCAGCCCTAGTGCGACATCAACGCCAAACGAAGATTTCTCAGAGTCCTCGGGAAAAAATACCTGCGAAACAAGCTTTTCGAAGTGAGAGATAGAAAATTTGTAGCACTTCACTAAAGTCTTAAATGTGGATCTCATATAAACATTGATTTTAAGACCCTCTAAAGACATGGCCAACCCTATCTGTTGCTCGATCTGTATTACTGTGTGAACTTCGAAGAAGGTCAATTTGAATGGCATACGTGATTTAACAAATGGTTGGTTCAAAATTCTTATTCGGTGGTAGTATTTAACTTTCGACCTGTCGGTGACTCTAGATCGTTTAGGCAGAACAGGTTTTCCATCACGGGCGAGCTGCTAAAGCAGTTGAAGAATAAGAGAATGTGCAAAATTGAAATAAACGAGTAGACAAGTGATGCAAAGTAAAATAAAAACGAGTATTAATAAGTAGTTTTGAGTGTGATTTGTGAGAATGAGAATTGAGACGTGAATAGTTTTTCCAATTGTAGTCACCATTTGGTTTATTTATGGGCTGGGACACTGTCCGGGTGCTCAAACTGAAAAAGGTGGTTTCCTTAGGGAGCCGATCTCCGAACCTTTTACATAGAAGTGTAATCCACAAGGCAGTGAATCAACGCTAGGAGATGCCGTCTGATCGTAGCCGGTGACCAACAACAGGTTCATACACCGATTGTTTTGTCAGGATCCCGGAACCCATGTGCA